GATAAAATCATTTTACAGGGTATGAGCAATGCAGTTCTGAAAATAGCACCACTGCAAAATGAAAGATGGCAAAAACCTCTACAATGCTGATTTATTTCAATGAAATTTTGTCTCTTACACTCAGTATCTATTTTGACATTTTCAGCTGAATTTTCATACTTAATAAAATGTAAATCTATAGCATTTGTTCATTTTGGGGCCCCAGCATAAATATCTAAGAGGGGAAAAAAAAAAAAGAAAAAAAATACCCATTCACATCATAAAATATGTAAAACAGAAATATGCTTTGTGGATCCAAATACTTTGCATTTATCACCACCACATGTACAGAGACACTCACAAAAAGAAACCATCACCGATTTGCAAGCTGTTTCACACTTATCTTTAAGTATGTTTCTACTAGAAGAATGGATTGGAGCAATAATTTTTAAAATATCGGTGGGTTTATACTTCTTGTGTAATGCTCAGCCTTCAGACATGTGCTGCTGAGAAAACACTAAGAGGTGATATTGCACTTCCCCGATTCTAAGGAGATTACATCTTTTGGCTTTCTTTCCAATTCACTGATACAAAGGTACACTTCAGCAGATGATTTTTTTTCTAATATAGGAGATTTTAAAATAGATTGGAAAATATAATTTTCAAATGAGAAGGAGCCTGATATTTTACAATCCATTATTGCAGCTGTCTTTTTTAATTAACATCAGCAATAAAATTGGCATTCTTCTGTCATAGACTTTATGCTAAAAATTAGATTATATGTATACGAGATATGTCAAAATCCTTAATCTGACAGTAGAAACAGATGAAAAGAACACATCATAAATATCTTCTATATGCATTCGGTCACTGAATTTATATAGTAAGTAACACTGTGTACCAAGCCCAGCTACATTCTCAGCAAGACCTACACTTGTTAGGTCCATGTGCAGAAACCAAAAATACAAATGTTCCAGTTGTGCAAATCCTAATTCATATGACTCATATAGATTTCCCTGAGTTGTCCTAATGACACCGAAACAGTAAGGATGATTCATGCAAATAAAAAATAGCAATACACAACTTCTTTTCTAAAAATTTCCTGCCTGCATACATATATATATGTTCATATGTATATTATTTTTATCTTCTGTATATTATTTTTATCCGCAGATGTTTTACACCAATTTATCTAAGTAACAGATCTATCTTGAATATAATGTATAATTTAATATCTACATACAGAGCAGGCAAGTGAGGAGGAAAAAAGGATAAAAGATAAAGGAAAGAAAGAAAATAAGTGGGAGAAAATTAGAGAAAATAAAATAAAAACAGACATTAAGTTATATCCAGAATGATGTAATTACAGAAAGAGTCCCACTGCTATTGAAAAACTTAATCTGTAGGCTTACCAAAATGAAAATATCTGTTTTGTTTTGTTGGTTGCTTTTTCTTTTTTAATCAGTACACACAGGTTTACCGTCAGAAAGTAGTAGCTACATCTTTATATCATACATTACTCACTATAGGTAAAAATATCAATGCTACTAAGACATACTGTGTCAAAAGTATACTTAAAAATTACAACATATTTTTAAACTCAAGACTGTTTTCATGCAGTATAGAAAAAAGAACAGAAATATGGTGAGTCCTATGCTACCTTTACTAGGAAACATGCAAACTGCATTTACTTAGCAGTATTTTTTTTCTAAGGTCTCTATAGATGTAGATGATAAATATATATGGCTACAAAGAAAGAACTGTTTTGAGTTCTGTGTTAGCAGTAGTGTGGTTATAGTGACAGGAGTACTATACAACAGTATTCTCACGTAAGGGCAAAATATCTGCTGTGCTGCCTCTATAACTGAAGTATTCAGAGTTGTTATGTTAAAAGTAACATAGTATCAAAGTATCCTGTACCAACATATAATAGATCCCTAATACATGATACAATGAAAATGACACATTTTAATGAAACCTAATATATATTGATCAGTAGCTAAGCCTTATAACTAAAGATCAAGACATAATTACTGCTATACTTAAATACTTCATTAAAGAAAAGTCTTCAATATGTGCGGCGAAATATTCCAACACAGTAAGCAACAAATGCGATTATACCACCTGCTCAGATTTTCAATTAAAATTTAAGGCTCCCGTTTCATATAACACAATCCTTCACTTACAGTTCTCTATACATTGCTGGGTAAATATATCAGAGCCTTTTTGCCTTGTCAGAGAAGTAAAATTAATCAAATGACTGAGATTCTATTAAACAGGCTTTGCTTAAACCTTCAGCATTTTTTGCTAAAAATGTTTCATACTGTCATACTACTGTATTGGTGATGAGGACTTCTAGATGTTTTAGTAAAAGCACGTGTTAAAATATTTACTTATTCAGAAGGAACAGATGACTGTAGGAAAAGTGATTGTACAATAATGAGTTGTTGATGAAACCACGTACTACATAGCCCTGATTATGCATATTTTTCATCCAACATCTGGGAAATATTGCTTCCTCAGACCAACTTTTTTTCTTAGTTAAAAATAATGAGAAGAAAACAGGTAGTTAAGAACATCATATCAGAAAACCTTCAGTTCTTCAATTATTAATGTATTTCTTTCATTTATTCTCCTCTCCTGTGTTTTTTTTCCTATTTTTAACATTTTTAAAATATAAACTCTTTCACATTAAGGGCATTTGCATCACTTCTCTTTGTTCTTCCCCATATGTAATCTATAGTAGGAAACAAAACACTGCTGTCTAACCTTAAAAAAAATTTTGAAAAAAAAATATTTTCTTTTTCACCTGTTACATCATTACTTTTTGCAAAGCATCTCTCTCTGCATCAACCTGTTATGCTGTCTTTTAAATGAACTAAGCCTTATTTGCACTTTAATTTAATTTAGAAGGGGAAACATTACAATGAAGGATGGACAGGCACTATAGATTGTTTCTACAGTATTGCAATGGAACGATAATGAGAAAAAAAGACAACAGCAAGTAGATTGTGTAGAACATGGAACTGCTGTTGACTAACATCATATTCTGAATTACTTAATCACAGATATAGTTACAGTTAAAGTTATGTTATATGGTATGTTTTCCTGTTGACAATTTCTATGATTGTGAGTGGCAGTAAAGGTAAATTCTGAAGGGAATTAGCGAACATGGACAGAGGGACAGAAACAGTTTGAAGGAAATATCACGTATTGTTATGCTAAAAAGTGATCTATTTAAACTGCACAATATTCTTTTTATACAGTATTCTTTTAATTTCACTTGGTTTCATATTTCATTCTAACAGTATAAAAATCTATGTAGAAGATAAATTGTAATTAGTTGTGTATGATAATCTTATCAGCTCAATAAGTAACAGTAAGTACAGGAGCTCAAACACAAGAAAAGGACTGACTTTAAAAACCCTGGCTTTGTATTTTGTCACTCTTGCTTCTACATGGCACATCTTTATTAACTGCAATACGAGAATATTTTAAAAGATAATTTTCCCTTCAATGAAAGGCTATATTTATTCAACTCAGAAGATATTAAGTGGCTATTTTACACTTATCTTTGTATTCCTTTCTTCCATTTAACAGTGCGAACATCCCTTTGAGTCTTTTATAATGGAACCGATACTCAGAACTGAATCCAATTATAACAACCTACCAGCAGTACTAATTGGTGAAAATGCATTGCTGGTAATTGCTGTAAACTCATCCTTCTGCACAGGATGAACGAGGGCAATAAATTCTACCCAGCGTTAAACAATAGGGAGGACTACCATTAGCACTGTTTTTCTTATGTAAAATGCATTAAAGTGAGTCATCCACTTAAAAGTTACCTACTGGTAGCTTTAACACAGATCCAGGGACTAAGGTTAGTGCCTCCAAAAAAAAAAAAAAAAAAAAAAAAAAAAAAAAAAGCAAAGAAATAAAATAATGTGAGGGAGAGAGAAGAAAAAGGAAGAAAAAACGGTCATTAGACCATAATGGTTTGTTGTGGGTTTTGGTTTTTGGTTGTTGTTTGTTTTTTTGTTTTTTTTTTTTAATTTTATTTTTTTCCCAATCTGTAGGCGAATCTCAAATATGAGGTATTGGCTTATTTTTGCTTTTATTGCATGCTTTCATTATATGATCTGTGCACTGCTCTGGGCAACACTTTCATGCTAATAAGTATGCAGTGCTTTAAAGATTTCTGTCTTACGGCCACGCAAAACATAAAGCTGCTTGCACCGAGAGCATCCATCAGCTCTCGCAAAGGTGATTTTTGAGAAGTAACGATTTGTAAGGCCAACGCTGAAGAAGCCGGTTCTTTAGTTGTGTTGCTTTAAGCAGGCTAAAACCCCTCTGGGGTGGCCCACGCGTGCGCACACACAACACCCCACCAACAACCACGGACAGAAAACAAACCCTGCAACTGTCAAAATATTCATGGTGTGCACTGGAACACAGCCAGGTAGGAGTGAGCTTAAGCATAGGCTCAGAACTCAAAGCACTGCTCGCCTGCCTTCTTTCTCATGCCTACCGCAGAAAGGCAAGAAAATCTGCCTTTTGCCTGAATTTTCATAAAACCGCTAAAGTTCTCTATTTAAAAAAAAAAAAAAATAAAAAATTAAAAAATCGTGTTAAAACTCCAGCCAGGCTGAAATAACCTTGGTGGGAGGAGGGGGCGGGCTCTGTGTAACTCGAAACTTTCCTCTCGGCACGGCCGAGCTGCCGGGGGTATATTTAGCGCCGGGAGCTGCTCCGGAGCGGAGCCTTCGCCCCAAAAGTGCCGTCGCCGGGGCGCTCCCCCCTCCTCCCGGCGGCCGCCCCGCAGGGACTCCCTGCCACCGTGACTCTTCCCCAAGCAAAACCAGCCGAAATCCGGCAATTTTACCTCAGCGCCACTTTCCGCCCGGACTTACTTTATCTCCCTTTGTATTTTGGCCGGCGCCGCGCGCTCCCCGGCACTGAGGTGAGCCCCTGTCCCGACCGTGCCCCCCGCCCCGGACCCCCCGCACCCCGCGGGGACTTACGTGGTGGCAGAAGGGAAAGGTCCCTCCGAGGAGTGGTTCATCACCAGGGACTGGAAAAGTGTCAGGCTAAAGACTAGCAGCCAGCCAGCAGCCATCTTCCTGATCGAAGATCGATCCCCCCTTCCCCAAGTCGGCGAGACAGCAATAATAATAAATTCAATTATTGTGTGTGCGATGGTGTGGGGGGGGCTGTTGTTTTTTAAAGCCTCCTCCGCTCCCCCCCCCACCCGCCCCCTCGCAGGAGGCGCAGCCCAGAGATGTGCGGAGAAGCAGGAGCGCGGCCGAGGGTGGGAAGGAGGAGGAGAAACGATGGAGATCTGTGGGTGGAGAGGGGGAAGAGGAGAAATAGAGAAGAGAGAGCGAGCTACTCTACTCTGCTACTCCAGCAGCAGCTCCAGCTTCATCTGATCCGCCGCCATCAGGGCTACTTTTGTAACAGATCTCCGCTCACTCTGCGTGTGCGTGTGTCCTTCCCTGATTTATTCCCCCGACTGCTGAGCAGAAAGAGGAGGAGAGAGGCAGGCGGAGGAAGGGGGGGGAAGGGAGAGGGGCTCCTGCGGGGAGAGGAGGGAAAGAAGGGGAGAGAGTTGGAGACGGGCAGATCGCTCCCGGCTCCTGCCTTCCCTGCCGGCAGCGAGGGAAAGTCGGGGCGGGGAGCGGGGGAGGGCACCGGGCCCTGTGGCGGCCTTACAAGGCAGCCGAGGAACTCCCTGGGCTGGGCAGGGCAGGGCAGGGCCGGGCCCCCGCGGGAGCCGCGCTCCCGCCCCACGCCGCCGGCCGTGGGGGCTGCGGGCCGCACCTCCCCGCCGCCCGGCCGCTATTTTTAAAACCGCTTCGTGCCTTATTTTAATTCCTCCCCCCCCCCGCCTCCCTCCTCCCTTTTCAGCAGCAACCTCACACAGCACGTGTGCCGCCAGTCTGGGCTGCACTTATATATGCATATTTATATATGGACGTACAAATGTCGCTCCTTTCCCCGCTGGCCCTGGGAGCGCGGCTCGGCGCGGAGGGGCGAGGGCGGCTGCCCCGCGGCGAGGAGCGGGCCCGCCCGCGCCCCCGCAGGGTCCCGTCCCGGGTGGGTCCCCGAAGCGCGTCTGGGCAGCGGGCACCTGCGGCACGGCTGGGTGTCCTCAGGCTACATCCCCGCCCCAACCGCATCGCTAGCCTAGACAGTAATTTCCAATTCCTTTGAAAATTCGGGCAAACTGCCTCTCCCGTCCTTTATTTTACCCGTGTTCATGTGCACCATTCTCCGTACAAATGGAGAAAGTAATCCAGGGAAATATTTCTTATTTACTAAAGCAGTTAAAAGTTCAGGGACAGTTTGATTTTTCTTTTCAATCGGTGAGTTATTTTTGCTTGGTTTTCCTTCTTTTGAGATGCTTTTATATTGTTATGTATATAATTAAATATAATTATGTAATTATATGGATTTATATATATATAATTAGTCCAGCAGGTGAAAGTGAAAGAGCAGACCCAGTATTCATGTTATTTTCACATTCTTTGTATTTCAGGGTTGCATCATCTTAAATGTATTAACTCACAACAATGTCTGTAAACCAGAAAAGCACTCATCTCTACTTTAAAGGTGGCAAAAGGACCAAAGCTGATAGCCACAAATGAAGAATTGAGTGTTCTCATTGCCCAGGCTCCAAGCCAGCATGATATTTCAGTTGCAATCTGTAAAGCACGCAGTCACTCATCTACATTGTTTCTGGATTGGAGCTGTCACTTTGGAGCTGGTGGGAAGAACTCCCAGTTGTCTTCACCTATCCACCTACCTGTAGGTACGTAGGATTCAGCGCTTGGATGCAAGTCCAAAATAGAAATTTCTAAAATGATACTGCAGCCTGTAGACTCAAACAGTCTGAGGAGTGTCGATAGCCGAGCTTTTGTAGGTCTCTATAGGCTTTACAGTTTTGCCACATCAAGTGGCAACACTTGATACTCAGCTAAAACCGCTCACCTGAGCACCTCTGCTTTCCTACAAGGGTGCAGAGGCACCGATGGCCTCTGCTGCAAGGTGTGACGGGTAACTGCAGAGTCATGGGCATGTGACAGGGGCCCTGCTTCACGTAGGATGTATCAAGATGAGATCCGGGGTAGAGAGAAGACTCTGGGAAATGGAGTAAAGGTTTGGAGCAATGTGCAGGGAAAAGAGACTGGAAGTGTGGAGTAGTTCAGGCTGCACAAGGCCATGGCAGATTTACTTCTTAGAGTGTAATTTAAAGCGTCTTCTCACTCTTGGGGCCCCATACTGTTTAAGGGTAACATTCTAGTATCAAGAGGACATCAATTCAGTTATGAACATGAATATTCCCAATAAAACACTGGTTCTGCTTCATGATAGGACTCTGAAGATCAGCACGAGTTCATGTCTGAACTCTGCTGAGATCCACAAATGAGGTGTTCTGTTAGTTGTGCTCCAAAACACCTACAGCCTCGCAGTGGGCAACACAGTGATGTATCAACACTGGCAACACCCCTTCAGAATAAAGGATGGAAATGCTCTACTTGGCTCCTTCCCTACCTGAAGGATCCAGCATTTGCCCATGTCACCTCTGCTCAACAGGAAAGTGCTCGTGCTCAATTCCCAGATGTGCCTGTCCCAAAAGCCCACACACAGCTCACCAAGCCATGGGCACTGAGCTGGGAAAGAGGTGCTCTCTTCTCACCTTGAAGTGGGCATGCAGACAAGGATGCGCATGTTGGTCAGGGCAAAGAGGATGCAAATGACTGTGAAAAGCCACAGGGGAAATGGTTTCAGTAGGTGACAATAAGCAAGACCACTCTCCCTCAGAGGTACTGTTTCAGTATAATGTGCAGGAGACAAAGAAAGACCAAAGAATGATATCATAAAGTAATAAATAGAAAAGTATAGGGTTACACAGGGATGTTTCTTTCATCTTTAGTACAATTTTCTGTAAGCCTGCATTTCTGATGCTGCATCCAACATTTATAGAACTCCTTAGGGTGATAATTACTGCTACTGATAATTCTAACAACAATAACACATGTCTAGCAATGCAACAGTGCAATGCATGGGTGGGTTGGCACCTCACTTAGTACAACAGGGTCTGGATTGTGACTGTTTCAGCAATACTAATACACTGTAACGATAGCTGAAATGTGAAAAAGAAACTAGAAAAAATACTGCTGTATTTTAATATAGCAATATTTGAAGCATCAAATCTATATTGCTATTTACAACTGTATAATAAGACTGCAAGGTAATCCTACAGTGAATGCTACTCAAGTGCAAGTGAATGCCTGTGGAGCCCACTGAAACTCGGAGATGAGGGAGAAAAGAAAGGTTGTCTACATGCATCTACAACATAGAGGAGATATACATAGGTCAGCTCCAAACACACTGCTTAAGGTTTTGAGGAGCAGCCAGGGCTGGAAAACGGAGCTGAGCAAGGGCTGCCAGTGTGACATTCATGGGAAGACTCAGATCTGTGATATACAAGTCAAGTTCAGCCTGAAAACTTTACGGGATTTACAAGCAAGCTTGGACCGGAGCCCAGTTTTGAGAAAAGCTGGACTCGAATAACAGTTTTCCTTTGGATTTTAGTGAGGCTCGAATCTGGGTTTTGAATTTTTACCTTTTTTTGAATCTGAAACTTAAGAGGGCAATACTACCCTGAAGCATGGGGAAGAAAATAATGCAGAAGTTACTCCAGGAGTTATGTGTTATTTACTAATTTCTCACTCTTGTTTCACCTAATTATTTATGGCTTAAAAAAGCATTTATATGCCAGGTATTTAATAAAGATGCAGAATGTTTAGAAATGTTGACGTCATCCTACAAATGTGTGGATATGAGTAACTGTGCTCAAATAAGTTCCCACTAGCTTTGATGGGAAAGTATGATTGACTTAAAACATAATACTAGCAGAATTTAATTTCTTGATACTTCTTCATCCTCCCATAATCCAGGAAAAAAAGAAAAAAAGCATGAACATAGTTTCATCATTACATTTTTAAAATCCATTTAAATCTCCTAAGCAATCAGTTCCTTTCCATTTGATAATTATACTATTTCTCTGTGCAGTAACATTTCAAACAATATATTAAGTATGTGGTTTATACTTAACAGTAATGTTGAACTGCAGATATTCTTATAATTTATCTATGTTAAGGTTCCTAAGATCTATTACAGCTGACAAGTCTTCTTTTTTTAAGCACTTAAATATAGACTTGAATGACAAACCATGAAAGTAAATCTTTCTACATTCTTACTTTACCTCATTCCAAATTTATTGCCTGTCGTATCTGACCAAGACCTCTCTGTGAAGGAGTGCAGGAATGACAGGGATTGATATAATGGGAGGGATTTTACAAAAAGTTTGCATTGCACCTACTTGGTGGACTTGCAGTGTTGGGTTTATGGATGGACTCGATCTTAAAGGTCTTTGCCAACCTAAATGATTCTGTTATGTTCTATTCTATTCTATTCTATTCTATTCTATTCTATTCTATTCTATTCTATTCTATTCTATAATTCTACTGAAATTACTAGGAATCTTTCAATTGACTGTGGTGGTCTGTATATCAGAAATAAAATTCCCCATTGAAAAAATTTGAAATTTATTTTTCATCAAAAACTTCTTCTCAGTTCAATATATCAGTAAGAAGTATTAATTTATGACCAAGCCTTTCTCTTCAATTTCTGGATATATTATTTACATTTTCATAAATTATTTATGATGTGGTGCATCCAGCATAAGAGACAAAGAGTTGGGCCTTCTGTCTCGTAACTGTAACCATTTTTCTTAAAAAAGACATATATTAAGTTAGAATAAGATTAAAAATTTTATTAATCTGGTTTTATAGTTGTACATAAACTCATTCTTCAGTAATTAGCATTGTCATAAAACTCTTGGAAAACAGTGGCAGTTTAAGATTAACATATACAGTGATCGTAGCACCTGTGTGAATAGATAGCATGCAATGACCAAGTGTCTTAAGTGTCGGGTTTGGGTTTTGTTTTTGGTTTGGTTTTTTTTTTTTTTTTGGTTATATTCAATAACTTAGTAGTGGCTGTTATTATCACTGACCCTAACCTACAGTGTGCTGAGTACACCTCACTTCTGTGATTGGGGTGACAAGCACTTTGCTAGGTGGAACCCCAAATGTCATTCAGTGCAGCCAAAATGTGCTTGCTGAAATGCTGAAAAAAGTATGACAGGGTCTTAATCAATGACACAGGGAAACCAAAATACCATTTTGTTCCTAGCATGTAGTATCTTCTTTACGTCTGTCTGTTACACAGGGCAGGAGGGGCTAAACTTACTGAATAATTCTCATTCTGTATGCTTGTGCAGGACTGCCTAGAAAGTGCAAGCAGCCTGGTCTCAATTTCTAATTTTAGGGGGGAATAAAACCTCTTATTGATGTCTGCACCAGATGGAAATGCAAGATCCAGCCATTGCAAGTGAGCTGAATTGTTTTACATATTTGAATTGGATATAATTTTATACTGTAAACTTTGTTAGCTACATCCAGCAGCAAGGTAGTCAACACTGTTTTGTTGTCACCCTTGTTTTCATTCACATTTGAGTAAGTGTGCTGAACCTAGCAGCAAAACTTTCCCTATCTGATATAATTGTTTATTTGTTTCTTGTTATTGTCAGATTTGAGGAAAACTTTAATCCTAATTCTAGTTTTGAGAGCAGGGATATATTCATTTTCACACTGAAAGATTTTTTGTTGGTTGTTTTTTTTTGACATTGC